ATACATCATGTACAACAAGAGATTGAAAGATAAAAAGTTGAAGAAAAAAGATTTAAGGATGATGAAGTCCCCTTACTTTGTGATGATATGCTTTATATATATATATATATATATATATAATTTGTGGATAATGATAAATAAGTCACACTATCTAATTTTCAATAAGATCTTAATTTTGATTTTTTATGAAGGCATAAAGAAGATAAATATATTTAATGCAAACTAATAAGAAACAAAAAGAAAAGATACTAGTAAAAAACTATGTACTAAATGTTGTTTTAAATTTTTAGTAATATTCTTAATTTTCTATTGATTATTACTAAATTAGGGAAGAGGAAGATTGGAAGAACATGGATAATACTGAAGATGAGGGAGGGAAGAAAACTATTTATTACGATAATGACTTTATTAAAGACCCTTTGAGTGATGAAATTGTAAAGGACTTCCTGATTACTTGCTACATTTTTAGTTGCATGGACAATAGGAGTTGAAGAGATCAGCTTATTAAGCCAAACTTAATTTTTCCTGTTATATTTTGATTTGTTGTGTTATAATCTTTAGTTCTTACTTAATTACTTTGACATCTTATGTTACTTTGTTATTTACATTATATTTCTACTTAGTGCAATTTGTTATTTGATATATGTGCTATTTTTACATCTTACTATGTTAGAGTAAATAGACCATTTTTAATATATTAATAGGTTAGGTTGCTAACATATTACTTCTTACCAGCTCTTTGACTTTTAGCATTTTTTTTAATGGTAAGGCTTATGCCTCAAAATGTGTTTAAGCATACGACTCACCTCACAAATGAAAAATGTCTCTATGTCCAATTGCATTTTAGACTTTGATACCAACTAGATTAACTTGACTCAACTCACTCAAGTAAATATTAGTGTACAATAATTCCTTAATTTTTCGCTCTTTTTCAGAAACCAAAATAAAAAGAGAAATCTCTAAAATTTAACTCAACCTTACTGAGCCGACCATCCGAATGTTATTGATTTCATGGAATTAATTATTCCTATCATAGATTCAACATCAAGAGATTTCTTATAAATATTTACTCTATGGAATCATTTCAAAGTTTTTCAGCTTTTATTTTTCTTCCGTCAGCTAAAGTACTACAGCTACTAGTTCCTGTCGAGATGAAGAAATTTGACATCTCTAATCTAAAAATGGTCACTATATGAAGAAAGTGAAGTTGTTACAGCATATTGATTTCATGGACCTGATTCTTCCTGTCATACATGTCAACATCAAGGAAATGTGTATAAGTATTTGCTCCGAGGAATCATTTCAAGGTTCTTCAGCTTTTATTCTTGTTCAACCTCCCAAACTATAATTACTTGTTCCCTGTCAAGATGAAGAAAATATGACAACATAGCTAATCTCAATATGTATAAAATTAAGAATACATGGAAGTGACGTTGTTATTTGTAAGTTGACTATGAAGAGTGAAGATAGAGCCAATTGATGTCACAAATTGCAGATTAGGGTACTTTAATTGATCCTGTGGCTTCTACAAGTCTTCGCTGACATAAGAATATTGTCGGGGAAAATTTGTTGAGAATGTGCTATGAGGCGCGCCAAGAATATTTCTTTAGAGAATTTTGCTACTATGCTAGCTGAATAAGCTAAGATGCCAACTATTGGATTTAAAGATATTTCCATAGATTTTACACTGGGAGAGTTTTAGGGCACTACCAAAGAGGTTAAAACTGATGTCCATCTTAAAGAGATAACATGTGCCCATCCGTACACTCATAATTTGTCATAGTTCTTTGAGTTGAATGCAGGCCTTAGTGACTTCAAGATGGGAGCATTACTTAAAATTACGCCATATGAGGCTCGCCTCAGCGTAATTCTGGTGAAAAACGCATCTAGGCTAATGCCTCGAGCTATTTTTATGAGGCGTGCACCTCAGTTTAGCTGAGATGCGCTCCTCGCCTCTTGCTAGTGTGAGGCGTACACCTCACGTTATTTATATATTTTCCTATTAAAACTTATTTAAATCCTAAACTAAAATCCTGAACAAATCACGTCTTCATGCACCCTCGAGATGCAATAGCTTCCTCTTGATTGCCTCGACCTCCAGCCCATTGTCTCCGCCTCAACCACTAATGTTGTAGCCATCGTTCGGGGATCACTTGGAAGCTATATGCCACCACCATCTTCTTTAAAAATTTTAAAGTTTTACTCTCATCTTTACGTTGATGACAAATATTTATGAAAGAGTAGGATGACAAAAATAAATAAAGAAATATATTAGGAGGCATTAGACTCTACAGAATTAGGCAAGATAGAGACAAAATTGTTATGATGATGGCTCAAATAAAGACCCCCTAAGTGAGGACAACATAAACTATTTTTGAGTTGTTGCCAACTATTTCAACTTTCTATAAGAATTAAATGTAGATAAGTAAGACACTGAGAAATAAATAATTTAGAGTTGAATTTGATATTATATTTTATGCAATTCTTATATTTTATGTTATTTTTCTAAATATTTAAAATTGCGTAATTGGGTATTGAGGTGTTTTTCGTTCATGAGGCAAGGCGTAAGCCTCAAGGCGTTTTGAGACGTAAGCCTCAAAATAAAAAAAATTGTGTAAACATAAAATGATAAATTTTGTATTAATATATAAAATGTAAAAATTCACAAGATATGAAGTGAAATCAAAATATCTCAATAATAAGACAACATGAAATATAGTTCAACTCAAACTCCATCTTTCCCAAATCACAGTATTTATTTCATTAACATATAACTCCAAAAATAAATAGCAATGACATATCACATAAGAACTCATAAGTCATCAGCACTGTCATCACTAAGGGGGTCTTCATTTGAATCATCATTATGATAAACTGCTCTCTCCCCTTCCTCCTCTCTTATAGAGTCCAATGTCTCCCAATTAGGTCATTCTTCCGCAATATCAGTTATCTTCCTCTTCCCTAAATATTTTTGAACAATCTCAAAATAAATAATAGTGTAATACAATAATAAAAGTCTACAAAAATTATATTATTTATATACCTTTTTTTTATTTGTTATTTATATACATATAATGATCCATAGACCCTCTAGCACCCCTAGATGAAATAGGCTTCATCGAAGAAGATGAATCCCTAACGCTGCGCTCACTCCTATAGTAAGAGCCAACATCAACTGTGTCCTCAAATTGCTTCAGTGCAAGATGTTTTAACGTGGTAGACTTATTCATGTATGACTTTATCTCCTCCCTTACAGTATCAGGAACTTTGGAGCATGGAGCAACATTCTTGTGAGAGCCTGAAAGGTGATCCTTCATCCTAATCACAGTATCACACCACCCTTCACAACTTTATCACAGTAATTGCATTTTAGATAGATATATGTTTTATCATTTTCCCTACATCCACCTGAGTGCTATGTTTCCATGCTGGATCTTTTCTATGACCATGGTTAATGATTTTAGGTATAAAAAGTATTAAATAACTAATTAACATTTGTGATTAATGATGAAGAATACATTAAGAAAATCTTTAAAAGCATTGATTTTTGGAATATGCTTAATGTGTCTGTATTGGCTATTTAGTGTTGACAATGTAAAATTGATTCATATTCTTTGAATGTAAGGTTTATGAAACATTATATGTGCTAGCGAGAAAGAACAACATCATGAATGAAAAGCTAGGTTGCTTATGGCAATTGTTTGGTAGATAACTTGATTAAAGAATAAATGTACCATTCCTCATTCGAGGCATAATCATAGACATTTGTTTACATATTTTAATTATTGATAATTTAGTGTGGAATATACTTTATTTATTCCTAGTATTTCATATGATCATTTTGATGTGATATGAAAGTTTGCTTTGTTATGCTACTAGTTGCATAAATTTCTATGTAGTTATGTTTTTTTTAATATTATGAAATAATTATTGCCCACATAAATAATGAATTATGTTGACATGTGACTAAGGTTTTAAAAACTAGATTATACCGGCCGGTTGGACCGGGGACTGATCCGATCCAATAGTAAGAATCGGTTTGCATTCAAACCGGGTAAAAACCGGCTACCGCACAGGTTGAACTAGCTAACTGGTGGACCGGCCGCGTTAATTAAGGAGAACCGCCCGGTTTGTACGTCTCCAATTTGGAGCTATTGATAGTGCATCTAAGGGTTGAAAACGTAGCCCAATTTCACTAATTGGATTCGTAAGCCCTAAGAGAAAATTGAATTAGAGAAAAATGCAATTCATTTTTCTCTCATAGGCCTTCGGCTTTCATTCCTACTCCACTAGGTTGTGAGTTGCTCCCGTCTCTTTGTGGCTACGTTCATGAGTTTTCACTTTGGCACAATTGGCCGCTCTCAGTGTGAGCCTGAAAGTTCATCATTCGCACTCGCAACTCTCTCCTCCGTCCTAGACTCGTGCTTTTGAAGTCAGAACTCGAATACTTCATCCTCGGCACACAAAGACTAGGTATTTTCTTACCAATTACCATATCTGCTATCTGCTGCGAGCACTTCCTTAATCTAAAAATTTAGTAGTTGTGTATTACTGATTTGAGCTCCATCAGTGCATTCAAGAATAAATAAGTGTGATTGTTTTATTCATTGTTTGATAAGTTTTGCTAGAAATATTCTTTGCATTCAAACAAAAATCAGCGGGATTAGTTGTTATACTTTTAATGAGTTCTTATAGCAGTTAAATGCAAGTTATATTCTGTGGATAAATTAGTAAGGATTAATAGACTTAGATGATCTAAAAATCTTATTGATGGGCAAAATTTATAGAACACATGTTTAAATTTCTTGAAAACTAATTACTAATATTCATAAAACCCCTTTCTATTGTGTTTTGTGATTTCCTTCTAGGCTTGATCAGCATGATTTGACAATCAGAGAAAAAAGTGACAGCTTAACTACAATACTAGTCAATCGAATTTCTAGAAAGAACGTTAAAATTAATTAGATTAGATTAAATAAATGAAACCAATAGATATCTCAGATGAGAAAATAATTAAATTTGTAAATCCAATTCTACTCGGTGTGATAAACTAGTAGCAACCGTGACAACTGCAAACATATTTGAGCCAGCTAATGAAGAAGAACAAACAAGCCTAGATAAATCTAAATATGCCATTCACTCGAGATTCCTGAAAAATATTCCTAGAAAATGAAGGAATCAGAGGGGTGAGAGCGAGAGAGGGACTCACTCAGTACAATGTTGTCTTATTGCTAGTAATTCAAGCTTTTCTTTTCTTTTCTCTTTTTTTTTTTTTTTTGGCCTTTTCATTTCCATTATCTAACGACAACTGCACTGTTAATCAACACCAAAACCATACAAAACTCCAGCATATTTCTCTGTAGATCCATTAAAGAAACACTCCTCCAATTTCCTGAAGGTGGCAGCAGTAAGCAAGCTATCCGATCCAGCTTGGTGGCAGATACCCACCCGCTCCACCTCAAGAAGCTCAGCAAGCTTATTCAAACCACCATGGAGACTATTGCAAAACTTCATCAAATGCTTGACATCATATACGTTCGGAAAATACAACCTCAAGAGATCAAAAAAGCCCTCCTGCTTCTCGGGCAGATTGAGGCATGTCAGGATTTTGAGCAGGTAGCCAAAATCGTAGCCACTGTGAAATGTGATCCAGTGAACAGAGTCATTGAGGACGACGCCGGAGGACATGAGTAGCTCGGCAAAGCGGGGGGCATAGACGCCGAGGCGACGGTTCTTGTCGAAATCTATACCGCTGCGGCGGAGGAGCTGAATGGAGTCGGAGGCGTAGACGTCGTGAGCGGCGTCGAACTCGCGGAAGTTGAACTGCCAGACGTAGGGGCGGGCAGGAGAGCCAAAGGTCGGGAGGCTGCCGCGAGCATCGGAGAAAGTGAGTCCGAGCTGTATGAGCTTAAGGAGGTCGACGTTGGTCTTTAGGGTTTTGTAATTGTAGTCGGAAGCGGTGCGGAAGGCGCCGATGGGGCGAAGGGCAACACCGGGGAATTCGGTGTCCATGGCGACGTAGGGGTAGTCGTCGACGATAGAGCGTATGAGCGCGAACTCATCCTCGAGGTTGGAGTCCCACACCTCGCGGATCTCCACCGACTCACCACCGTCGTCGGTATTGCCGAGGATCGACATCTTAAAACCCTAGACAGATATGTTACAGGATGTGGAGGCGGCCAAGAGAAGACGGGCTTCCCAGGGCTTTTGACATTTGCGGCAAATAGGGTCAAGCTTCAACAAGCTATTAACCTGGTCCTGAAATTGGAACCCATTTGTGAATCAAATGATTGTCAAAGCCTAAATTATGTTCAATAAGTAGTTTAAGATTTTGTTTGGGACAGTTTTAGTACTGTTTACAAAAATTTCAAATTATTTTTTTTTTTTTTGTAAAAAAACTTTTTTAAAAAGTAAGAATAAAGCCGTCACAAATGAAGTCTTTTATTTGGGACGACTTTTTTACTACGTATTAAAGCATAGTTCTAGTAAAAAAATTTAAATTTTATACTAAAAAACTTATTTAAGAAACAGTAAAAAAGACATCCCAAATGAAACCTAAATCGCCTAATCTTTTGAGTTGCCAAATCAAATTTCATCATATTGTCCAAAAACTAGTCTTTACTTTGCCCTCAATACTGAGCTATCAAACATTTGTGAGAGCTTATCAAGTCATATATTCGCCAAGGTTATTAACCCAAGTAACTCAGATACTTGCCAAATACAAACTATTTAGTAATACAAGTCACTTAAGACTATAAAAATATCATAATTAGTAATACAAGTCACTTAAAATTTCATATTATAGCCCAATCAATACTTATTTTTATCTTGAGATTCTAATTCATTATTTGTTGATGCCTATAATTTTCTATTGATTGGAATCTAAAATTATATTTATTCCTTTCTCTCAAAAGCTTCTCCAAGCCAATTTTTGGTATGGGTGAGCTCTCATAAACTCCCTCGACTTCCTCCAAGAAAAATCCCCTTTTTAGGAAGAATAATATCGATCTTTAATCGAGAGTTTTCTCAAACCCTAGGCTTGAGATGTAATTAACCACGGGGGCTTGCGCCCGTGGGAAACGGAACTCCACCATCAAATAAACCCCACTCGAGCTGATGTATCGGGTGGGGGAAACTTATTGTTACGATGAGGTTGTATATATTACTACCCATCAGGGTGCGCTGGCGAGAGCCGCTATCCTCAATGGTTAGTCGTATGTACGATCTAATATGCCCTTCCATTGACCCATTTGTGAGGAGCGTCTCTTGGGATGGTGCGATCGTATACTCTATGCACTCTGCAACTGCGGCGGTGTCCTTTCGGAGGTCCACAGGTTTTTTATGACCACGGTGGGACTCGTTTCTCTCTCCATCTTTGGATCATATATTATTCTTTCTTGTATGTACTCTATGATTGATACTCCTTAGATTAGATCCGTCATACTCTTAATTAGGATATGTTTCTTAGTTAGGTTCCCTACTTAGTTACGGTTTCCCTTAGCTGTGGTCCCTTTCCTTCCAACCTTCTAAGCCATTCTGTATCTTATCAATTCTCTCATTTTCTCGTGGTTTCCCTTCTCTCTTTCTTCCTGTCGATTTTTTGTATTTGCTCGGCTCTCTCACCCTGAGACCGCCGAGCAGACCCCGGCGCCCTCCTACATTTCATAGATACTTAATACCTGAGGGTGAATTAGTTGTTGACAGTAGCTTAGACGAGGAAGTAGACTTCCGACATTAGACAATTGGCAAGCAACCTATTCTCAATCAGATGAATGGAATGAGAGTCGAGGATTCCTGTCAAAGACCTTCTAACACTATTTCCACTAGTGCTGGTGGTTCACTATAGACTAGTGAGCTTACCTATCCCATGTAAAATATCCCTCTGTATTTGTACCCCCTGAAGGCGTCCTTCTTATTTTACGGTAGTCTATGTGGCCACAACAATTTTTTCCTCTACCATACGATGTTCGCTATAAAGAGTATAAGGCTATCCTTAAAGGGGATACGATGATACATCGTAGGGATATTTGTACTTATGTTTATGCACGCCAATCATATCGGTGTTAGCGCATAAAACCCTCAATTTATCCTCTCATTAAGATGATTTGTTATACCCCAATTTTGCTTGTCATCCCAAGCATGGTCTGAGATATCAAAACTAATAATTTAACCCCATTTTTTTAGAGGTGATACTAGGTCCATACCCACCTGCGTTAGTCAGGTGTGGTGATGTTAATCTAATGTCCTTAATTCAAATTCATTTTCTATAGGTGATACTAGGTCCATGTCCACCTGCGTTAGTGGGGTGTGGTGATGTTGATCCAATATCCATATATAAATTTCATTCTTCTATCGGTCATGATACTATAGGTATTCTATCTCAGTTTCACTTGGCGCCCCCATATATGGTTTGGGTTATCAAAACCAATATGTATTATTTTCCTAGATTTCCTTTTATCCCTCTGTATGTGTATCCCTTGATAGTCCTTCATACTTTTCGGTAGTCTATGCAGCAACGACAATTTATCATCTACCACAGGATGCTCGTTACAAAAAGTATAAGGCTATCCTTGAAGGCAATATGCTAATACACCTAGGGATATTTGTGTTTACGTTTGTGCACACCGATCAGGTTGGTGTTATCACATGGAATGATATTAGGTCCATACCCACTGTTTTACTCAGGTGTGATGTTATTGATCCACATCCTTATGAATTCCCTTTCTTCTATCAATCTTATTACAATTGTGCTTCCCCACTTCATTCACACAAGTTAAGTGGGGTCTGGGATATCAAAACCATTGACTTAAACTCTTAAAATATGTGATATTAAGTCCATATCCACCCATGTTAATTGGGAATAATATTGTTGATCCATTATTCATATATAAATTTCATTATTATATCAATTTTATTATGATTGTGTTCCACATCCATTCGTATGGCAAATATGGCATGGGTTATCAAAGCCAACTATATCCCCCATCTTTATGTTATTTTAAATCTTTTGATAAAGTTGTCTAAGTTATTCTGCTTATATTTGGATACCCGTGGCCACGATATTTAATCCTCTACCACGCAGTAATTAGAAGTTAGTTTGAAAACTCTCATACAACTTTTTTGCTAAAAATTTTTATAATTACCTTTACTTTCTCCCTCACATCCCTACATAAATCTATGTCAGGTCGATGTCAAGGTGGCATTCGCCTTCTATCTTATTGCCTTGATAGGGTCAGGCAGGTAGTTGGACACTAACTCACTTACTAAATTACCTGGTTAGGGGTGGCTGATAGAGCCCCTAGGAGGCATACCCCATCACCTTGACTATTTATTCACTTAGTTGAAATGACCAAGTGAGTATTGAGCCCATATATATTTGTTAAGCTGAAATAATAAGGCAAATATATAGAATTACCTAGTTAAGAGAGTCTAACAGAGTCTTGGGAGGCATTCCTCACCATCTTTTTCTTCTCTGATGCCCTGTTGTGATCACGCAGACGTTAGACCCTAATTTTTTATTCACTTGGTTAAAATGACCTAGTAAGTATTGAGCTCATATATATTTGATAAGCTGAAATGAAAAGATAAATATAGAAAATTACCTAGTTGGGGTGCCCGACAGAGCCCCTGGGAGGCATATCCCATCACCTTGACTATTTATTCACTTAGTTGAAATGACCAAGTGAGTATTGAGTTCATCTATATTACTAAGCTGAAATGATAAGATAGATGTAGAGAATTACTCGGTTGAGAGAGTCCGACAGAGTCCCTAGGAGGTATTTCTCACCACCTTTTTCTTCTAGGATGCCCTGTTGTGATTAGCTAGGCAGGCGTCAAACCCTGACTATTTATTCACTTGGTTGAAATGACCTAGTGAGTATTGATCCCATAAATATTTGTTAAGCTGAAATGACAAGGCAGATGTAGAGAATTACCTGGTTGGGGGTGCCTGACAAAGCCCTTGGAAGGCATACCCCCACCACCTTGACTCTTTATTCACTTAGTTGAAATGATCAAGTGAGTATTGAGCCCATCTATATTTGCTAAGCTGAAATGACAAGGAAACGATAGAGAATTACCCAGTTGAAAGAGCCTGATAGAGTCCCTAGGAGGCATTCCTCACCATCTTTTTCTTCTCTAACGCCTTACTATGATTAGGCATGCGTTAGACCCTGACTCTTTATTCACTTGATTGAAATAATCAAGTGGATATCAAGCCAATCTATATTTGCTAAGCTGAAATGGCAAGACATATGTAGAGAATTACCCGGTTGAAAGAGCCCGACAGAGTCCCTAGGAGGCATTCCTTACCACTTTACTTCTCTGATCGATGACCTGTTGTGATTAGGCAAGCGTCAGACTCTGACTCTTTATTCACTTGGTTGAAATGATCAAGTGAGTATTTAGTCCATATATATTTGTTAAACTGAAATGGTAAGGTAGACATAGGGAATTACTCGATTGAGAGAACCCGATAGAGTCCTTGTGATGCATTCCTCACCACCTTTAACTTCTATGATGCACTATCGTGATCAGGCAGGCGTCATACCCTGACTCTTTATTCACTTCGTTGAAATGATCAATTGAGTATTGAGCCCATCTATGTTTGTTAGGTTGAAATGACAAGGCATATTAGAGAATTACTGGCCGGTTGAGAGAGCCCCACAGAGTCTCAGGGAGGCATTCCTCGTCATATTTTTCTTCTTTGATGCCATGTTATGATCAAGCATGCATCATACCCTGACTATTTATTCACTCAATTAAAATAATCAAGTGAGTATTGAGCCTATCGATATTTATCTAGCTTAAATTATAAGGTAGATGTAGAGAATTATTAGATTGAGATAACCTAACAGTGCCCTTGGAAGGCATTTCTCACCACCCCTTTCACCTTCTACCTTGTTGTTTCGATACGGTCAAGCGGGTAGTTGGTTTAATTTACTATATACTTTGGTTCTTTCCTTGGCTCTGCCCTTGCTATAGGGTAAGACTAGGAGAGGATCTCACTACTTATTCACCATTCGGTGATCCTTTACTTGCTTACTGCTCTATTTGGTTCTTTTTTCGACTCTGCCCTTGCTATAGGATAATGCTAAGAGATGATCCAACCATTTATTCACCATTCGGTGATCCTTTACTTAGTTACTTTTCTTTGTATTCTCTCCTAAGATCTGCCCTTGCTATAAAGCAAGGCTAGGAGAGAATCCTACTAATTGTTCATCATTCGGTGATAACACTACTTTCAAACTTTACTTTAAATATATTTTTGTTCTCTCCTTGGCTCTGCCCTTATTGTAGGGTAAGGCAAAGAAAAAATTCCCCTACTTTTTCACCTTATGGTGATCATTTACTACTTTACTTGGTTCCCTTTTAGGCTTTGCCCTTACTGTAAGGTAAGGCCAAGAGAGGATCTCACTACTTGTTCATCATTCAGTAATCTTTTACTTGTCTACTTTGCTCTTTGTCATCTCTCCTAGGCTCTACTCTTGCTATAGAGTAAGGTCAAGAGAGGATCCCATAACTTGTTCACCATTCAGTGACCCTTTACTTCTTTGATGCCCTGTTATGATCAGGCAAGCATTAGACCCTGACTCTTTATTCACTTGATTGAAATGATCAAGTGGACATCGAGCCCATCTATGTTTGCTAAGCTAAAATAGTAAGGCAGTAGAGAATTACCTGGTTGGGGGTGCCCGACAGAGCCCCTGGGAGGCATGCCCCATCACCTTGACTCTTTATTCACTTGGTTGAAATGATCAAGTGAGTATTGGCCCAGCTATATTTGCTAAGATGAAATGACAAAATAAATATAGATCGAGAATTACCCGGTTGAGAGAGTCTGACAGAACCCCTAGAGGGCATTCCTCACCACCACTTTCACCTTATACATTGTTGTTTCGATACGGTCAGGAAGGTAGTTTGTTTACTTTACTACTTTACTTTAGTTCTTTCCTTGGCTCTGCCCTTGCTATAGGGTAAGGCCAGGAGAGGACCCCACTACTTATTCACCATTCAGTAATATTTTACTTTATTACCTTATTCTTTGATTCTCTCTTAGGCTCTGCACTCGCTATAGGGTAAGGCCGGGAGATCGAGGATCCCACTATTTTTTCACTTTTTGGTGATCTTTTACTTGTTTTCCTTACTCTACTTCTTTTGTCACATTTGATCAATATCAATACGAGCGATTCACTAGTTTGTTCGTCGCTCATGTTGGGGATTCGTTTGTTGATCTTGAATTTATCAAATGCTTGCATGGGTTAAGGGGTTAACTTTGCCAAACTGATTATGCCAGGCCCCAAGGCCACCTCCTTGCATTTAGTGGGTCAAATCAAATCTGCTGACCACAAACGAAGACCATGGGTCAACCTGGGTTGACCTAAATTGACTCAAATTCCTTCTATTTAGCTCGAAATCAATTTCATATATTTCTGAGCTCAATTCCATCCTAATTAACCCTAACTACAATCTTAGCCGTTCATCAAAGGGCTAGGGTTATATATAAGGGATTTTAGGGTTCCAATTGGGGGGACTCTTGCATGATCTTTCTCCCAAATGCTTCTCAAAGCTAATTTTTGGTATGGGTGGGCTCTCATAAACTCTCTCGACTTCCTCCACGAAAAATCCCCTTTTTGGAAAGAATACTATCAGATTCTTAATCGAGAGTTTTTTTAAACCTTGGGCTTGAGATGCAATTAACCACGGGGGCTTGTGCCTATGGGAAACGGAACTCCATCAAATAAATCCCACTTGAGCTGATATATCGGGTGAGAGAAACTCGTTGTTACAATCAAGTCGTTTATATTACTAACCATAAGGGTGCACTAGCGAGAGATGTTATCCTCAATAGTTAGTCGTATATACAACCTAATATGCCATTCCATTGACTCGTTTGCGAGGAGGGCAGAGGCCTACGATCGTTTCTATCCCTTAGGGTGGTGCGGTCATATATCCTCTGCACTCTGCAGCTGTGGCAGTGTCCTTTCGGAGGTCCACAACGTACATTAATATTACACAACATGCATAAAAGAGATTTTTTTTACTTGCATAAAAGAGATATGGAATACTTATTTTATTATGATAGGTATGCCAACATATATAGATAGTATGGCATAAAGTTAAACAAGAATACATCATATATATTCAGGATTTTAGTGGATATTAAAAAGAAAGAACATATTGATTCTTTACATAACTATTGATCACTAATTGTTGAGTTGAAATTATTGCATTGACTCTTACTATTCATTTATGTATTCTCACTAATATATGTTCATACTAATATAATAAATGATCACATGCATATTTTTTTAAATGTAGTTATAGCTTTGGGTAACCTACTGAGTCGTTAGCACATTCAGTGATTTTAATGTTTTTTTGGAAGGATTTAGGACAATGTGGAGTGAATTTGATCTGAGGTTTTACAGTTATAGGTATTTTTATTTTGTTATTCATTTTTGTATCTACAAATATTTTGTATGGACTAATTAAGGTGATAGAATATTTTGTTATTGTATATAAATTTTGGATAGAACGAGAAATGTATATATTAATGCTTATAAAATAGAATGAAATGCTAATTTTTGTTGATTTATTTTTTGGATGATTAGTGTCTCTGGTGATTAATTAGTAGATAACAGATAAAATTCTTTCCACTTAGGTTATGGGCAAGTATGTAGTCCCTCATTCAATCCAAGTTAATATATTTGGAGTACATGTTAATTTGGGTTGGGTCGTTGTACTATCCCATTAATTCTTAATTTTTAATCAACTTTAGATTATTTAGATCCTCATTCTTTCAGAAAAAAAAAATTATAATAATTTCCATTTATCATTATCCATATTAAAACCGTTGAATTCCCTTTACTACCTTCCCCTGTAAGGAGGAGATTATTTTGACCGTCCTTGGAGGCCTCCATAGCTTTTCAATGTCATATCATCTAATTCTTATAATTTGTGTGCTTTCACCTCTTCAGGGTTGGTTAACCCAACTATCCTTAGTGGATAGCAAAGCCTTCGAGCATAACTTCGTTCATCTCTTTAACATCATGCCATCTATCCCACCATAAGGTTGATCGTCCAAGTTTCCCTCAAGATTAATCATCTCCACGACCTTCCAACGTCACTTTTATGTTATGATGATTTTACTTTCAGGAGGAGGATTAACCCTAACATATTCAACGGACTATACACACACCACTTTGTTAATTGCCACTAAGTCAATATCATCTTTTTAAGTCAAAGATGACAACTATCCTAGTTATGCTCAATAGACTTCTTTGGCCTTAACACAACTTAGTTTGTTTCTTTTAGCTAGGTTGTGCTACCTTCAACTCTTGGAGCAAGATAATCTTGATATTCTACCATATTGTATCACTAATATGCCGAGAATACTTGTAACAATTCACTTTTACTTGCTTTGCCTTGTCGTCTTCTCTATGTTCAAGGAAGGGCCCGCGGTCCTTTATAATTTTTATTCACTCCTAGTATAAAGTTGTTGTTTTACCTATATTATACCTCATAGTTAATTTTTCCTTTATGTATTTCTCATACAAACAAATCCATGTGTCCTCTGCCCACACTATTTATTTTACTAATTATGTGTGATAACTCTTTTCTAGATAAGGTAATCAAAACTTCACACTCAACCAATACAACTTGTGGCATGCAATACTATATTTCTGATAATATAATTAATCCTCATACCTCCATGCTATCAATTGGAATATAGAGCCTAACATATCGTTGTTTAATGGGCTGATGACATCAAGAGATCGAGATTGGCCGACGAGGAATAATCAACAAGCACTCTTGTTCTAATATTCCTTCACCTCCAACTACCTAGGCTGCTAATGTTGTCCATTAGTGCACACTAATCAATATACTAATTAATCTCATCTACTAATAAATCTTCCCACGCCAGCTTAGAGTTAGGTATTACCTCATATACTCAGGCGAATGGGTTTTCTTTGTCTTTTCCTTGTCGCCACTTGATTCATATATGCTGCACTTCAGTCTTCCCTTCTCTAAACTCTCCAATCCCGGTGGTTAGGAACAGTTGGAATTAGGTTAGACAAATGAGAAAACCAAAGAGATATATATCAGCACGAGTGCTGTAACCCTCACTCTTAACGTTCAGAATATCCAACCTCACTTAACCCCAATATCACCAAACGACCACTGCATGTTTCTTCGTAATAAACTCCATTGCGAGGTCTGTTTGGTCACCTTCACCATGCAAATGATCTAGAAGAACGCTTCTCCCTCTTAGAAATAAATAGGCACTGGACGTACACCCTATATACTAAGCCTTACTCAGCCAACTTCAATTACTTCCTTTCTCTTGTTATTAATTATTTGGCTAATAATTAACATGGAGGAAGGCCTTCCTCCAGGCTTTCGTTTCCACCCTTCTGACGAGGAGCTCCTCACTTATTATCTTACCCGTAAGGTCTCAGGTTTTGAATTCGTATCCAAAGCTATTTCTGATGTTGATCTCAACAAATGTGAGCCATGGGACCTTCCAGGTAGAAGATATTTTGATATTTTGCGTGTAAATGTTATCTATTTATATTTTTACAAGCAACCTGATGAGTCCTTAAAGATTTGATTTTGCTTAATATATAGTTTCAGGAAAAGCCAGCTTGGGTGAGAAAGTAGGATACTTCTTCAGCTTGAAGGATAGAAAATACCCAACAGGGATGAGAACTAACCGAGCCACCAATGCCGGTTACTGGAAGACAACAGGCAAAGATAAGGAGATTTTTCACTATGGCGCATTAGTTGGCATGAAGAAAACCCTAGTTTTCTACAAGGGTAGGGCTCCTAAGGGTGAGAAGACCAATTGGGTTATGCATGAATACAGACTTCAGTCTGAGTTCCCTCACAAACCATCGAAGGTACAGAAAATTACTCTTCTTAAATATTTGATTAATAACGAAACTAGCTAATATTTACTTCTTTACCAACGCAGGAAGAATGGGTCGTGTGCAAGATCTTCAAGAAGTGCAATAACTTTCATATGAAAGAGCCTAGTTCAAGCTTTCCTTCTATGTTGCTGGAATCTCCTGGAAATACACTAAGTAATCAGTTTGGAGATATTGATGTGTCCATCTTGAATACTCTTCCTGATTCTTCATATCATTTTAATCCAATATTGCAACAAAATGATGGAACTGCAAATCATGCAAACGAGGGAAATAAGATGGATTTAAAACTATATATGAACCTGTTATGTAGCAGATACCAACCAAATTATGGATCAATCAATGCTGGATCAAGTATGAATACATTTGCTGGGAATGAGGATGCCTTTGTTAACCCTCAAGACTTAAAATTTACAGATCTTGTGCAGAAGCAGCAGCAGCAGCAGGAGGGGGAGGAATCCATCTGGAGAGGATATTGATTGAATTTTTCATGCATGCAGATGGTTAAGTTATTTAATGCATTCATCACTTTAATTATAAGTTTGTAGGCATATAACTAGGCATTTGTTGAAACTCCATATTGTGAATTCACTTTAAAAGGATTTGTTATTGGTTCTGCAACAGTTGTGGAAGTGCTGTTGCTAGCTAGGTTGGAAGCAAATGTATAGAATTAAATGTTAGTCTTCTATGTACTGATAAAATAGCAAATTAACTTCTGTAAGGAGGTGTTAGATGTCTAAGGATTCATTTAGGATGGCTTTGTTACTGCTTCTTAAAAGTATTTTATGGTATAAAAACTAAATTTTTTTACTAAAAAGCTGCTTTAATAAGCAATAAGGAAGCTATCCCAAACAAAATCTAAGTTATAAAAGGTGTGTAGTTTGTTTTTGTTTAATTTCATGCTTTGTTTGTGTTAGAAATCTGAGATTGCGGAGAGAAATGGATTGCTTGAAAGGAGGAAGGGAGAAGAACAAATTGGAAGATGGAAATCTCTTCATTAGAATATTCAAAATAATTTGACTCGCTTAGATCCTTATGAAATAATAATTTATGAATTTCGAAATATAAAAAAAAATCAAATTTCTCTCTCCATACATGTATATCTTCTTGTATGTATTCCTCTTAATTCTACTTCTGCACTGATCTCTGCCCTTTGCTTTCTCGTTAGCTTCATGTGGGCCGTAATGATGTCAGCTTAACATTAGATATCCAACTGTTTTATTAATTTATTTTCTTCATCATTAGCTTGCACGTACGTATTTTTGCTTTTCGGCTTTAAACTATAAAACCATGCTAATTTTAGGGCATTTTTAACCGCTACTAAATTGCTTGCCCGATTCTAAATTCGCTACAAGACCTTGGTGATTGTAATATGTTGGGGGTGGAAGTAATTAAACCACACAACCAAATAAATAAGAAAATAGAAAAGAAAAAAGGAAAGTAAAGAACACCAGGATTTGAAGTAGAAAAATCTAAAATTAGGAAAAAGCCATAGAGCCACACCACACCAACAAATCCATTATGAAAATTGGGAGAAATTTGTACATATCACTCTTCTCTCTCGCTCTCTACGTGCTTCTCTTCTCTCTTATACCGTTCTTACATAATAACAAACAAAAATATACAATACATACCACCAAGGGACACCACCCTTAATAAAAACAATAAAAAAAACTATTCATCCGTCCTCGCAACACTGCGGTGCTAGTTTAGAGAGCTGCGGTGCTCACTTGTTCTCTAATTTGTTTGACAGCACCGTAGAGTAGGGGTGTCATTTCGGGTTATGGGTCGGGTTCGGGTCGGACCTGGAACTGACCCGGGTTCAAATGGGTTGACCCTAACCCGACCCGGATAGGTAAACAGGTCAGAAATGCGAAATTTATCGGTTGCAAGTCGTCGGCACCAACCCGATGTTTTACGCCGGTAAGACGTCGGTACGTGCGCCGGAATATTTTCCGGCGTATTACTTTCGTCGGAACAAATTTATCGACGTGACCAAAATCGGCGTATGAATTTTTGTCGAAACGTGCGTCGGAAACCTATGGTTCCGTCGGATTATCTATGTGTTCCGGCGGATTTAGTCCGCCGGTAATAAAGGGTTTTCCTGTAGTGGAGATGCGCCAAGAAGGGAAGGGAGTGAAATGGTTTTTTTTTTAATAAAAAAACAAAGCCTAAACAGGAGTTCTTTTTTTTTGTGAATTTCAAAAGATGACTCAACTAATTAGAAGCGGAAGCTAGTGATTAGAAGAGGATTTCAACAATAGTGATGAAATTTTAAATTGCACAACAAAATACTAAAATCAAATTCTCACCAAACAATTATAACAATGTTAAATGCAAGAAAAAAAATGTGGTAAATGAAAAAAACACACCAGAAGTTTTATAGTAATTCAGTCACTTGACTTACGTCCATTCCCCGGAGTCTTCCACTCTGGGATTTTTACTGCTAAAAAGTAATTCTCCTTTTGCTCTCACAGCAAGGCGGAGAAACCCTTACACAAACTCACTCACCTTCCCTGGTGTGGCGGAGTGCCGGACGCTATGTCATCCTCCCGGTGATGATAGCAGACCTTATCATTTTTCTCCCTCCTGGAGAAGGCAAAGGACCTTTAAGGACGTTGACCTTGCAGGCTCTCTCCCTTGAGATCGACCTCCCATAGGACTTATCTGGCCCTTAAAAGGAGCAAGCGTGCAGCAGGTTTGGAGCAACCGTGTGATCCCTTCACACTCCTTCTCTCACACACACAAACTCACCTTCTTCTTACTCTCATTAGTCTTAAATCTTTTCAAGAAGCTCCCTCTCAAGAGTTCCCTTCCTTTATCATGTTCCTCTCTCTCTCTCTGTCATTCAAAAAGCATAGGCATTGAATATATATTATACTTCAAGAAACCCTAAAAATTCAATTTAGTCATTTCTGTTTGTATAGTATGATCACAGATCGTACATTACGATCAATTCAAAACATTTTTTGCCCTAATACGAAGGAGTACGAACAGGCAACGATTGTCCAATACATATATCATATAGCCTGATACTAATATCATCAAGTATAATATACCACATTTCTTTAGTTCATATAGGTCGAACGCTGGCATGACCAAAATTTGTCTTTATTCATCATCTGGTACAATCCAACTCGTATAATTTGATCAGTTAAGTATTCAAGTCATCCTGTAGGATGTATACATTATACAATACGATTATTTCAAAAATCAAGGTTTCATCTGATATGATCTTTGGGACGGCCAAAAATAACCTCGGTTTATTGTACGGTACGAACAAGTTCGTACAGCACGATCACACATCATTAATTAAGCCCTGATTTAATTGATAAATCACAGGAGTTAATTTTAGCAAGCATTTAATATTTGTACAGTACAATTGGATCGTACAGTATGATTTAAAATCTTATAGTATGATATACATAAAAAATAATAATTTTTTTCTTTTAGAAAAAAAAAAACTCTCCCCCTATGTGTATGTATGATTACTCAGTTTGCATACACTTTTTATGGCTTGACTCAAGAAAAAAAAATAAAGAAGATTCAAAGTTACAAACACCTTCACATCCTATCCTACCCAGTCTCGAGTCTTTCATTATCTTGAGCAGTGTGTGGTTTCCCTGAAATGTCAGTACTCACAATAAGAATAACATTCAAATTATTAATGAAGAATAAGATAATTCAATTAAGATTATTTGTCATCATCAAAATCTCAGATTAGAGGTCATAAAATGTAATAATCCTCCCTTTTTTATGGTGTTAAATATTTTTTGTTGATATATAAGATAGTATTTTTTATTATTTTTAAAAAATAAATAAAAGAATATAAAAATATGAATAGAAAAATGCATTTTATTTTAAGTCAGAAATCAAAATAGAAAACATGATATGCAATAGGAAAACATACTAACTAAGGACAGACACACTTCTGCCTCTTTTGACATCACCAAAAAGAGAAGTATCAAAGAAAAAGGTACATTAAATACAACAAATAGAGATTTAGTCAAATAATGGATCCTGATCAGGTAGTGTAGTGGTGGCTGAAAGATGTGATGGATGGAGGCAAAATGATGATCGATTAAAGCAAACCTCTCTCCAAACCACCTTATATCATCATTGTGATGCTGGTGTTTTTCATGAATATGAGAGTCGATTTGGGTTTCAAGTTGATCGAGTCGTTGAATAATGTCGTCTTGAGGATAGGTAGGTGTAGCTAGGTCCTCTCGGTAGAGCAGTTCCTCCTGTTGGAGCAGCATCTTCTTCTTCATCAAAATCTGGATCAACATGCTCTTGGCCTCGATGAAATAAGATACAAAAAGAGGCATCCGTATAGAAAATAGAGACATTATTGGGTTCACCAAGATAGGTCAACTGATATTTGTAGTGAAGAATATATCATATGACATGCCCTAGGGTTAGATTGAGTATTTCCTATAGGTGCTAGGATGGCGAATTTGGGTCATGTTTGTGATATAGTTAATAATCAAATCGGCTTCATCAAATCTAATATTGGACATGATCAGGTAAGTGATAACAGACAGGATTGGGTCATCCGTATCCTATCTCTAGCTTTGGGTATTATGAATATCCTAAGAACGTGTTGGATAATATGGGCATTTTGTGTTAAGGACTGAATAAGAGATTGGTGTTGGTTAAAAGTAACATTTCTAAGAACCAAATTGATGGAACTTCAGTCAAACTCATTTGTTATGAAGGAGTGGGCTCGAGATCCTTCAGTATAAAGCCTGATATATTCAACGATGTATGCTTTGGTGATTTTGATATTTCGATGACAGAAAAATGAAGCGAGGGTCAAGTTGTCTATATTTATCCTCAAGTTAGCAAGGAATTCATAGAGGAGCTCAGAGTTAAACGAAAAGGCTAGGGTGAGAAGAAATTGGAGAGTAGGAAGAGGAGCTTTCCAGCATGATTCAGCCTCATTTGCTTGAGCTAGCAATTGAGTAGAAATGAGTGAAGACGAGTGTAGTAAAGAAAGGTTGAGTGAAATGAACTTGTTTCCCCTCCTATTTATAGATTTTTTTACTGTTTATACAATATGATTGAGGGACGTACTGTACGATCAAACAATTATTTCATCTGGATGGCCGGTTAGGAAAAGGTGGCCAAATCGTACTGGACGATATGAAGAAAATATGTTCATCCTGTGGGGTCATTAGTACGACCTTTGATGAAAAGTATTGTATAGTACGAACGAGTGTTCATACATTATGATGGACAATAATATCGTATCGACCGAGTTAAATTCATCCCAATCTATTCGGGCAAGTGGATTATACAGTACGAAAGGTATATATCATACAGTACGAAGGGCAATTATATTGTATCAAGTGAATTGAATGCATGGTCATATTTATTGTACAATACGAAGTTGATCATACAATATGATATGTAGATCAAAAAATCAAATATGGAATGTTGATTAAACAGAGGGTTGTGATTTGTGTATTTTATGATGATCGTACAGTACGAAGTTGAATCATATAGTATGATAGGGACAAAAAATTGGTTATTTTGAGAATTCGGTGAGATGAGTCTGTGAAGATCAAGAAACACCTTAAACCAATTTTTTGTCAAATTTTTTTATTTTTATTATTTTATTATTTTTTGGATCAAGCATGAATGTCTATAACACCTAATTTTTTCCTCAAGATGCTAAAGGTGTCATAGGCTAGTGGTTTCATGAATATGTTTGCCAATTGATCTCCTGTAGCTATATGGTGCAATTTTATATCTTCTTTAGCTACATGATCTCTTATGAAGTGATGTCTAATGTCTATATGTTTTGCTCGAGAGTGTTGAATTGGATTTTTAGATATGCAAATTGCACTAGTGTTATTACACATAATTGGGATGGTTCCTATAGGTAATCCAAGATATAAAAGTTATTGTTTTAACCATAAAACTTATGGAACACAAATCCCTACTACTATATATTCCTCGGCTGTAAAAAGGGCCTACTAAATTTTGCTTTCTACTGGACCAGAAAACTAAGGATTGTCCTACGAATTGACATGTTCAAGAGCTGGATTTCCTGTCTATCCTACATCCTATAAAATCCGAATCTGAATACCCTAAGATTTTAAAGGAGGTGTTGTGTCTAGATACCAAATTCCTAGGTTTGGGGTGCCTAGTAGATATCTAAGAATTCTCTTGATCGCAGTCTAGTGAAACTCTTTAGGGTCATCTTGGAATCAGGCATAGAGGCACTCACTAAATATTATATCTAGTCTACTAATAATTAAATAGATGAGAGATCCAATTATTCCATTATATTTTTTTGGTCAACTGGTTTTCCATTCAGGTCTTTGTCTAATTGAATCGTAGAACTCATGGGAGTGTTCATGGCCTTAGAATTGTCCATTTCATATTTTTTTAGAATATCTTTGATGTATTTAGTTTGGCTAAAGAATTTTCCATCTTCAATCTATTTTACACTAAAGCCTAGAAAATAATTTAGCTTCCCATCATGCTCATTTCAAACTCATTACTCATTATTTTTGAGAATTCATCACATAAGATTTTATCTAAAGATCCAAACAGGATGTCATCTACATAAATCTGAACAATGAAAATTTCATATTTTACCTTTTGTAGAAGAGGATGGTGTCTACACTATCCTTAACAAATCCTCTAACTATTAAGAATGAGCAAAGTCTTTCATACTAGGCTCTAGGTGTTTGCTTTAACCCTTACAGTATTTTTTTTTATTTGAATACATGATTTAGAAATTATGAGTTTTTAAATATAGGGGGTTGCTCAACATAAATATTCTTTTTTATTACCCCATTTAGAAAAGCACTTTTAACATCCATTCGATACAATTTAAAACTCTTAAAGCAAGCAAAGGCTAAGAACACCCTTATGACTTCTAGTCTAACTACTGCGACAAAGGTTTCCTCAAAGTCCATGCCCTCAATTTGGTTATACTCCTTAGCTACTAGTTTGCCCTTATTTTTTACTAAGATTTCTGAGTCATTCACCTTATTTTTAAAGACCCACTTTGTTCTCACTACACTCTGCTCTTTATGTATCTTGACATGAGGAATTCAAAGAGCCTAATATCGCTTTATTCTAAAATCATTAAGTCATTTAAATGATGAAAGAATAATCTATGGTCAAAGAAATTAAAATGGACCATTTTGATGAAATATTATGGGGATTTCAACAAAAAATTACTAAAATGCTACTCAAGAAGAATATAAATAAGCATTCATTCTTCACATGAATATGGTGGCTTAGATCTTGATTTGAATATGAAAAAACTTAGAGATTTAAGGAACTTTGGACCTTTAATAGGTGTTGACACCAATGATCACCATTAGCAACAATCGTCGCCCATTTATTATTATATGATTATCATTACCAAGGTTTCATCGTCTAACCACCATCGCTAACTATGTTCTCTTAACCCTTGTCACATGACTATAGTCTTCTGACCACTGCCACTCGACTAAGGCGTCTTGATCATCGTTACCTAATTAACACCTCATGCAAAACTCCATCCCTAATTATACTTATTCTTGTTATTGCTTATA